TGAGTTGTCCCTGGGGCTGTCTGCTCTGTCCGGGTTCCTGGCTTTTTATCCCCTTTCTCCTGTTCTTCTGGCCTGCTACTCTGGGCGGGCCTGAGTTTCCTCTCCTCACCTAATCCCTTTGGCTGATTGCTCTTCTCTCTGGCTTCCTGGCTTTTAATACCCTTTCTCCTGCTCTTCCCGCCTGCTACTTTGGGCGTCCCTGAGTTGTCTCTCCTCACCTGTAACCCTGGGGTAGAATAGACTGGCTAATAATGAAAATGGGAAACTGGGGAAGAGGAAGTAAGATAAAAAAATTTTCTAGATTGTCTGATAGTAATGCCATTCCCTAGCTTTTGATAAAAAGTCAGTGTTTCAACTGGTTGAAGTGCTTACTGTTTTTAGGAAACACCATTATTTTTTACACCTAAACAGCCTGCCAAGCAAGATGAGTTTGGAAAACTTCCATTCCTTCTCTCTGGAGAGGCTTAAGAGAAGAAGAAAATAAATGACAGAAGCAATATAAAAAGAATGTGTAATAAAAACCTAACACTCCCTTCTTACCTGACTCACTGTGCCAATCTTGGATCTCAGCCAGACTGGATTTAGCTGACGGATGTCACAACCATCAAGACTGATAGTTCCTTATTGAAAAGAAAGAAAGGGTCACTGAGCATCATGAGATTAATACAAACAGAGGAAGAATTTGGTAGGAAAACTCCAGACTCAGGTTTCTAAAGACTAAAAGTACACTCAAAATCTCTACACAGAATATATAAATAGCATATTTCATGAGATTTTATAGCAAAAAAGGGATTGCTGGATTATCCAAGTCTAATAAGTCCCTGAAGTGGTTAAATGACTACCCTTAGTTTATCCACTTTGCTTGCCTCCCTATACCTCAGAGGTTGGAGAGAGCTTTCCAATTCCCTTATAGCTACCTCGAGTTATAGCACAGCTTTGATCCAGAATAGACTTCTGTGGGAGAGAGGTAAGTTGTGAGGTATGGAAATTATCCTATCACTGACAGCAGTGTACTTCAGGATAGACCTTGAAATGTTCTTTTTAATGATGAATATGATGCCATTCTTCAATTTGTCATTCCCAGCATAGTACACCGTATGATTGTCTGATTAAAAATGGCCAGCACCAGTCCATTTCAGCTCACTGATGCCTAGGGTATCAATCTTTATGCATTCCATTTCATTTTTACAACTTCCAGTTTTCCTAGATTCATACATCACACCTTCCATGTTCCAATTATTAATAGATGTTTGCAGCTGTTTCTTCTCATTTTGAGTCTTGCCACATCAGCAAATAAAGGTCCTGAAAGCTTTACTCCATCTACGTTATTATGGTCCCCTCTACATTGATGAGGCAGATTTTCCCCAGTCGTATTTTGCATGACTCCCAACCTGAGGTGCTCATTTTCTGGCACTAACCCAGACAGTATTTCCATGCTGTTCATAAGCTTTTCAGTGGCCAGTTTTTTCAGAAGTGGACCTGGCCACATCCTTCTTCCTAGTCTGTCTTATTCTGAAAGCTCTGCTGAAACCTGTTCAACCTTGGTAACCATGGTGGTATTTGAAATACTGGTGCCACAGCTTCCAGCATCACAGCAACACATAAGCCACCACAGAGCAACAAACTGACAGATGAGTGATGGTCACCTGTGCTAGTGGTGGCCTAATTATGCTGCTTCCTGACCTTGTCAGTTCAACAACTACCTTGAAGGCCTAGTTCTTCAGTGAAGTCTTGGGAACTGTCCTAGAACTTCAACCTACAATCTATTTTGTCAACCCTGCCAGTGATTCTTGAGCTTTTTATTACTCCTTAAACACCCTTTCTGCATAAAGTTAGAGGAGAATCTGCTGTCTTCAACTCAGAATCTGATTGATACAGTGTTACTGTTTTAAATGATTAGATCCTATCTCTGTGACTTGAACTAACAGACTTAATTCCACACATTAAGTGTATTCAGTAAGTGCTTAGTGGTGATAATACCAATGACTGTTAAGAAATGCCAGAGGTTGGGACCATAGTCGCAGGGGACATCAAGCTCAATTGGCATAACATACTATACAAAACATTGTTCCACCTCCTACTATGGTGAGTAGTGACTGGGGTCTTAAAAGCTAGCAAGCTGCCATCTAGATGCAAC